CCTCGCTTCTGTCAGTCTGCCCCAGTGGCTACAACTGTAGCTGCCTCCACCAGTGTGTGAATGCGAGAGTGAATGAATAGTGGCATTGTAAAGCGCTTTGGGTGCCTTGAAAAGCGCTATATAAATCCAATCCATTATTATTATTAAAAAAAAGTGTACACGCATTAGTAAATTAAAGAAAAACTTGTCTCCCTCTTTTTAATTCGACATTTTACATTTAGTTCAATTCAGTCAGCAGCTGTCCAGTGCTCATCCAAAAATAGGCCATAATCTCTGATATGAATGTGTAACTTGTATTTACCTGACACCTGCTCATTGAGAGGCTCTTCTTTTCATCTGATGAGTAAGTGAGGACGGAAAGCCATTACAAAGTCGCTTCATTTGAGATCACCAGCTTCCGTCATTAAGCGGCGAGGAGACGGGCGGCAGTTCTGTTTTCATGTTCTGTTCACCGTCACATCAGCTGCTCATGAGTCAAACCGGTAAACACCTGCTAATCAGATCACCCGTTTCATTAGTTGTGAGGATAACTGACCCACGTGACAACTGAAGAACAGTTTTATTAGCACACACACAAAGAGTACATACATTTTTCTCGGTATTTCCAACAATCATATTTCAGTTTGTCTTTTGTGTCTCTTTGCACCTGTAAATGATTGATGTCTAAAAAAAAGAAAATGAAACACGTGACCTGCAACTTTCACCTCTTTGCTTCAAGCCGGTGAAGACTTTAAGTGCGGTTGTGTGTACGCTGTTAACAGTATTTGCCAAGACATTCACCGAAGGATGTAAAAGGCGTTTAGCCACTCAACACCACCAGCACACCTAAGCATATTGTCATGCGCAATTACGTGCGGACTTTGAACTAGAGACACTCACAAACATCATAGATCATTTTGGTGAACAGCTGTTGTGCCATAATGTTCATATTTGGACTAGTTTTTACACAAAATAGGTGATTCTATAGAGCCCAGCCCTACAAGCTAAACGATTCAGCCACATTACGCTTTAAAATAGTAGATGGAGTAGTAGACTTTAAAATCAAGAAACACTCATCAAAACTAAAAGTTTCTGAGTCTTGACACGATGTTGCTCGGCCTGATTGCTTATTCTGGTTGTTTTGGCTCGTTTTCTGCGTGCGCATAAAGCGCGTCATTGTCTGCCAACACCTTTCGCCCTGCGTAAAATCATCGGCAGGACTCGACAAAACACCCACTATCCTCTGTGTATCAGACCTCTCAGTTTGGTCCTAAACTCCTTTCTCATTAGGCAGTAAATGATTGGGTTGAGGCAGCTGTTGGTATGCGCCAGACACACTGTCAGTGGGAACACATACGTATGAACCGTGTAGTACGCATTATCCCAGTTTGCAGCGTTCAGTTTGACCAGTACGCTCCACAAGGTCATGGCATGATTTGGCATCCAGCAAAGAAAGAAGCACAGCACGACGATGGTGATAGATTTTGTAACTTGGGATCTGCGTTTGGGGTTGCTGGTTTTCATACTCCGTTTGCGGATGAAGCGCAGCAGCATGATGTAGCTCATGGACACGATTGACATGGGCAAAACAAAGCCTACGACGATTTTCTGTATGTGGTAGAGTGCTAACCAGTACTGTCCACCTGGAAACCTCAGCAGACACAGTTTTTCTCCAGTTACGCTGGTGACTGTTGAGAAAATCGACGTGGGCGCAGTCGCCAGAGTCGCCAGTATCCAAATAATTGCGCAGACCCATTTGGCGGAGCACGATCTCCGCGCGGTTCTGTTCTTCAGGGCAGAAGCGACCGACCAGTAGCGGGTCACGCTCATGGCGGTGAGGAAAAACACGCTGGCGTACATGTTCATCACGGTGACGGACAGGATGATTTTGCACATTGCATATCCAAAAGGCCAGCTGAAGTCCAGCGCAGTGTCCACGGCCCAGAAGGGCAGGGTGAGAACAAACTGCAGGTCCGTAACGGCCAAATTGAACACGAAAAAGTTCACTCTGGACTTCTTCCTTTCTTGTTTGACCCTGATAAAGAAGAGGACCAGCAGGTTGCCAATCAGACCCGCAGCGCAAACGACCGAATACACCAGACAAATGAAGAATCTCAGAAGCGGGGTCCGGTCTGCGGTCACGTCTATGTCCACGAGGTTTTGGAAGAGCTCCATCTCGGTCACTGACTTGTTCAAATAAAAGCTTTCATTTTCTTCACTCATAATGCCAGCCAGCA